GTTTGATGGTTGGATCGTTGAAACTAGTTTCGTAGAATGCGTATGCCATGAAAATAATATATTCACTAACAAATAAGAGTTTATTTATACTTTTATTAAATATAACATAAGATTTTGTGGTATCTACTAGTGTAAATTTTTTAAATTGAAGATCAAATTGAGTCATTGTATTCATATAGGTTCAAGGAGTGTAGCTGTAAAAAATCATCAAAATCAGAGTTGAAATAATCGTTAAATCTTGATTTTTCGTTTATAACCGTCGAAATGTTTTGTCACGTTACGTGATCTCTGATTTATTTTCCGATTTTTGACGTATATGATCTCGATGTGTAAACAAACAAGTTTGACGGTTGGATCGTTGAAACTGGTTTCATAGAATACATATGCTATTAAAACAATATATTCACTAACAATTAAGAGTTTATTTATACTTTTATTAAATATAACATAAGATTTTGTGGTATCTACTAGTGTAAATTTTTTAAATTGAAGATCAAATTGAGTCATTGTATTCATATAGGTTCAAGGAGTGTAGCTGTAAAAAATCATCAAAATCAGAGTTGAAATAATCGTTAAATCTTGATTTTTCGTTTATAACCGTCAAAATGTTTTGTCCTGTTACTTGATCTCTGATTTATTTTTTTTTCCGATTTTTGGCGTATATGATCTCGAAGTGTAAACAAACAAATTTGACGGTTGGATCGTTGAAACTAGTTTCGTAGAATGCGTATGCCATCAAAACAATATATTCACTAAAAATTTAGAGTTTATTTATACTTTCATTTAATATAACATAAGATTTTGTGGTATCCACTAGTGTAAATATTTTAAATTGACGATCGAATGCAGTCATTGTATTCATATAGGGTCAAGGAGTGTAGCTGTAAAAAATCATCAAAATCAGAGTTGAAATAACCGTTAAATCTTGTTTTTAAAAAACCGTCATCTTTACTTCACAATAGACGACCCTTTTTAAAAACAAACTGTCATCTTTTCATATAATAGACGACCCTTTGTTAAAAAAACTGTCATCTTTACTTCATAATAGACGACCCTTTTTTTAAAAAAAACCGTCATCTTTACTTCATAATAGACGACCATTTTTTTAAAAAACCGTCATCTTTACTTCATAATAGACGACCCTTTTTTAAAAGAAACCGTCATCTTTACTTCATAATAGATGACCCTTTTTATAAAAAAAACCGTCGTCTTTACATATAATAGACGACCCTTTTTATAAAAAAACAGTCGTCTTTACTTATAATAGACGACAGTTCTTTCAAAACAACCATGTCTTTACCAAAAAAAGGACACTTGATTTTTAAAAGACGACGCTTGTCCTACCTACTGTCGTTATTTTTTGGTCAGATTTTAACTCTGAAGAAAAGTTTTTTAATAAGACGACGCTTTTTTATTTGTGTGCGTCGTTATAAAAAAATTCTCAACAGTATCTCCATTTTTTAGTTGTTTAAGTCACTTATCCACGACGGTTTTTTACTACCGTCGTCTTTTTAAAAACGACGACGGTTTTTTGTTCTACCGTCGTCTTTTTCTGGTCGTCTTTTGCCCTTTTTGTAGTAGTGACATCTTGATAACTTGCTCTTTTCTATAGTTGCTTCAACAACCTCAATCCCAACTAGTCCCTCAGTTACTGTATTGGACCTTTGGTCTTCTTTATCACGTGTCTTGTTTACATTTTTGCATCTCATTTTACCAAAAGCTCTTGCCCTCCTTTTCCCAAAAATAGAACTGATTTTACTTTTCCCTTTGTCTACAGGGGCAGAAGATTCCCTCTCAACAGCTTTTTCTTTGTTTGTTTGCACTATAGAAAATTCCCTCTCAACAGCTTTTTCTTTGTCTATTTGCACTGCAGAAGATTCCCTCTCAACAGCTTTTTCTTTGTATGTTTGCACTACGGAGGATTCCCTCTCAACAGCTTTTTCTTTGTTTGTTTGCACTATAGAAGATTCCCTCTCAACAGCTTTTTCTTTGTATGTTTGCACTACAGAAGATTCCCTCTCAACAGCTTTTTCTTTGTCTGTTTGCATCGCAGAAAATTCCCTCTCTACTGTTTTTTCTTTGCCTTTTTCAGAAACACTCTGTCTTGCAGAAGATGCCCTTGCATTTTGCGTACCCCTACCACTTTGTTCCCCATTTGTTTCTTCATTGAGCTCTTCTATCACAACACTTGTTTTTTTCTGTTGTCTCCATTGCTTGCATTTCCCACCAACAGGAACAATAGCCCCATAATTGTCATCAAGCTCCTCAATCACAACTCCTAGACACAATTTCAGCTTCTAAATCAACAAATAGATTTGATCCTAATTGACTATAAAACCAACCCTCATTACTATCAACCCCATGATGTAGGAAGATGTCTATTAGCCTAGTCTCTGGTACAAATACAAGCATGTCTATGACATCTTGATCATCATTAAGCTTTGTTAGGCCACCATTACTATAGGTAGGGATACTATACCAGTAACTAATCACCCACACTACTACAAAAATTGAAATAGACGACGGTAATTCACCGTCGTGTATTTGGTTTTTCAACCGTTGTGAAATCGACTGACATCTTTTGATGCATAAAACCACGACGGTAAATCCCCGTCATCTATTATTTGTAAAGACGACGCTTTTAAAAAAAACCGTCGTCTATTATATGTAAATAGACGACGCTTTTACTCAAAACCGTCGCCTTTACATCAAATAGACGACGCTTTTACTCAAAAGCGTTGTCTATTTGATGTAAAGGCGACGGTTTTTTTAAAAGAACTGTCGTCTATTTGATGTAAAGACGACGGTTTTTGTGAAAAAACTATCGTCTATTTGATGTAAAGGCGACAGTTTTTTTTAAAGAACTATGTTTTATTATATCCAAAGACGTCCGTATTTGTTAAAAAGCGTCGTTGATTGTATATAAAAAAGACGTTATGGTGTTAAAAGAGGACATTGATAATATATACAGATGACGATTTTTTCAATAAAACCATCGTTTTATTATCTTTAATTGGAAATAACGGAGCTCAACATTAAAAATATCAATCACAATAAAATAATTCATTGCATTTAAAAAATATCAACATTCTTCCACCAAATTCACAAGCTATCCAAATTTGAACAAATTCAAATCCAAGTCTAGACATACATCTCCCTCAAAAACAAACCTAGATGACTCTACAACCCAACCTAGATAGGTCAATTGATCCAAAAACATAAAAATAAGATTCACCACAGTTGAATGACTGCAAGCTTCTGCTCTTCTGGTGGAACCTTCAAAAGCAGGCATATCATCCATCTGGTTGCAACTTCAACTCTTTTACCAACTGTTTACCAAACTATGTGATTCATCTGACCTGCACCACGAAGTCATTAATTAAAAAATGAAAAGAAATGGCAGCAAAAATGTAAAGCAACTTACAATGAGACATTGTGGTGCAATTGTTCATAAGATTTCCGCTGTTTCTCATATGAAGAGACATTTTCATCACTGAGCTCTCTTTTAGCATTAAGGAATTTGGCATTTTCATGCTCCATTTGGCAAAGTGACTAAAAGTATCACGAAAATGCATTAATTACAATCAAAACCAGTATTCCACTATTGAAATAAAGAAACAGATATCATTAGCAAGAAAATAAATTAGAAGCTCTGTCCAACATAGATAAAGCACACATATAAGGTGTAAAATCAACATCTATGAGATACTATGGAATAGAAGGTAGCAAGATATTGACGCAGATCAAACCAAAATAGTGAAATGTGAAATAATGAAACAAACCAAAGAGATTCATACCTCTCCATGAATTTCTGGCTCAGAGAGTGGAAGGTTAAGAAACATTCTTCCCTACCGAGCCAAACTAGCAAGAAGAGTCAAATTTATCTTAGTATCCCAATCCTTTAAGTATTCCCCACTGGTAGATCCTTTAAATTAATACTCATCACTGCTTAAAATGAATATAAGACAAGATTTTAAGTTTAGTCAGGCCATGAGTAGAGAAACCAATGTTGTTACCACTAAACAGCAATGTACAAAGTCAGCAATCTTAAATTAATAACCAAAAATGAAATACAAGTCTCCTATAACAAGAGAAGTCATATGAAAGTTTATGTGAAAACGGTACAAGAGCACAATTGGATATTTTTTTTTCACTCTACTCTGTTAATAGGATTAAAATTTACTTACATGAGGATAAATAGAGATTGACAAAGATATCGTTTGGCCAGTAATCAGATGTACGTTTAAATGATTTCACCAAGCTGACAGGAAAAACATAATAAAAATAATAAGTCACCTGCAGCTAAATTATCACAAGTCCACTGCTAGATGAAAATACATCAAATATAAAAGTCCAGCTTCAATAAATTTTTACCCTTTCAATTCCACTTTGGAATTTGACTCAAAATAGTAAAGGGATAAATATAGGCATGCGAATTAAATGGCTTAATATATTAAACAAACAAAATATGGCTACAAATACCACACAAAGCAGTAGATAAAAAAATTGCAATAATCAGTGCAAGAATCAAAAAGTCAGAAAGCATAAGCTCACCAATAAGACTAAAGAAAAAGGCAGCATGCTGACTTCCCTAAACCAGGGGCTTTGATTGCACAGACCTGTAGCAAATCACATTAGATTAGCAAAAGCTGACTTCCCTACACAAAGAACCAAACGATTACATAGGAAAGAAAAAAAAAACCTCAAACAAGAGCATAAAAACAACTGAAAGCAAACCTTGATTCTAGCACGAAGCTTATTTAGAATAAGGTCACTCTCCACATATGCGGCGACAATCAGCAAAGGCCTTTGCTTCTGAAAAGGAGGAGCAAAAGTTTGTCAACCAATTGAAAAAAGAAAAAAAAAAACTAGTGAACCTAACCAGAGAAATGCTAACCTGCAAAGCCAACTCCAATACTTTAACCACAACATTAATACTTGAGATTTTCTTCTCATGGATTATGATTAGAGGATTTTCCAATTCCTATCAGCACATACAGGTGTTTGAAGATAATCAGCATCAAGCAAAAAGGGACTTGAGGTGCTGCTAACTTTAACAAGCAGCCCTCTAACAGTTTCAAGATATAGTTATCGCTGAGTCAAACTAAAACTTACACATTTCTGATTTTTCTGGTTGGTGATGAAATAAGGGGATATGTAGCCCTGTCTAGCTTCATTTGGGAATAAAAAAACTAAACTAAAATTAGTTGGAGTAGTGCTACTTCCATTTCTCTATGCATATGTTACTATTATGACTCAAATCTCGACATGAATAACATAAGATGCAAGCACTACCCACACTTCTGCATACAACTCAAGCTAAGCATGACTTAGACCATATAAACAGCACCAACAAAAGTTAACTTACCATATTGAAACTGCCAATCGAGATAAGTTATGCTCCCCTTTTTTAAATCCCTTTGTCTCAGTTTTCACAGCATCCAAACAGAAACTCAAATCGACACAATCACAAGCAAAATATGTTCTCCATAGACGCTTTGTTTCCAAGCTTCAATCAAATGGATTTCTCTGATTCAGAATCTCATAAACAATGGAGGAACAAACACAAATTCACACATATATAAATCCCTAAAACAGAAAGAAAAAAATTTAAAAAAAAATCAGAAAAGTTGCCTTAATTTCTATACAAATCGAAAATATTTACAAAAAATATAACAATTTTCCCAGATAATTTACAATTAAACACCCAAATATTTTAACCCTAAATCATATTAGAGATATAGAAATTGATTCTTCAAAACTTATAGAAAATAATCCTAAGAGAAGGAGAGTTGTTACCTGTGGAATGGAGGAAGGGAGGCTCTCATGGAGCCAGCCAGCGAGAGAGATGGAGCGAGCCAGCGAAGAGATAGAGTGAGCTAGAGAGAGACAACAAGAAAGATAGCGCCAGCAAGAGAGAGCCATCGAGAGATAGACGACGAGAGAGAGCCGTCGAGAGGAAGATGGAGAGGGAGCCATCAAGAGAGAGACGGAGAGAGGAAGATGGAGAGACAGAGAGCCATCGAGACAGAGAGTCGTTGAGAGAGCCAGAGTGAAGCTAGCTAGAGAGTTATCGCGATATTGAAACCAAAATGGCGACCTCAGTGACCTGGACGGTGAGATCTGTGACCTGGATGGCGAGATTTGTGACCTAGACGGCGAGCTCGTAACCAAGATGGCTTTTCAGAGATGAGAAAGGGAATTGAGAGTGAGAGAGAGAGAGAGAGAGAGAGAGAGAGCGATTTCTGAAAACGTCGCGAGAGTGAGTGTTTGAGAGAGAGAGCTGTCCGTGAAAATTTAAAACTTAAATGAAATTTTGGTCCAGCGCGTTTTAAAGCACGACGGTTATATAAATGAATGGTCGTAATTTTTATCTCCACCTTTTAAAGCACGACGGTTCCATTTAGAACTGTCGTGGTTTTTCATGGTTTTTAAAAACAAGACGCTTTTTAGTTTTACAGTCGTCTAATACGGGTCGTGGTTTCCCATAATTGTAGTAGTGCCAACATAGCCTAACTCCCTTACCATATTGTCTATCTCAGTCATTGACATTCTTGTTAAAAACTGAAATTAACTTAAACGTAAAGGATGCTTGAACAGAGTATTTCGCAGTGTTGCAGATACTGCAGTTTTCCTCTCTTATATATATGAAAAACAAAGCTTACAAAAAATAACAATCTCCACAATAACCACTAACACAACAACAGCAGATTTTGTGGAGTTCAACTACCTTAAGCAACGGAAGCAAATTTGAACGTGGTAAACACACTAAACCACAACTTCTATATTCTAGGACTCCAGCTTGACTTGGTCTCTTCATGGCCATGTCAGCTTTATTTAATTAAAACTAATTAAACTTAACAACTTTTAACACCCTCCCTTAAACTGATTTTTACGAAAAACAGTTTAAGAAAAACAATTCAGGATTTCTCCACCATCACATAATCATCTTCCTGTTCAATGCTTCGAAGTGAACAAACTCCCAACATGCTTCTCAGCTTCTCAAATGCAGGCTGCTTCAAAGGCTTAGTTAAGATGTCTGCAACCTGCTCCCCACTCTTGCAATATTCAAGTACAATCTTCCCATCACTGCACAGATCACGCAGAACTTGTCAACTTCACCTTTTTCGTTCAACTTTGTTCTAAATACCCATTTAACACCAATGGTTTTCTTTCCCTTTGGAAGATCAGTTAACTCCCAAGTTTGATTCTTCTCAATGGACTTGATTTCATTGTCCATTGCTTCCCTCCATTTCTCCTCTTTAACAGCCTCAGTATATGTAATTGGATCACTGTCTACAAGTAATGCAAAGTGAGCATTTTCATCATCAGAACTTGAATAACTTACATCATAGTCCATCATCCATGCTGGCCTCTTCCTTGAGTTTTCATCTCTCAGATTGTATCTCTCTTCTTCAAACTGTTGAGATGACTGATCTTCAGGTTGAGGTGGCTGCTGGGCTTGAGTGTCAGGAGCTGCTGCTACCTCTTCATTGTCTGAATCAATCATCATTGACTGGAATTTGTTGTTGAACCGATATGTTCTCAGACCAATTCCACATAGTATCTTCATCAAATATCACATCCCTGCTTATCACTATCTTCTTTGTAACTGGATTGTACAGTTTATATGCTTTTGAGACTTCACTTACACCAAGAAAAACACATTTTTCACTTTTGTCATCCAACTTCTTTCTTTTCTCATCAGGGATGTGTGCATATGCTATGCACCCAAACACCCTAAAGTGATCAACAGCAGGCTTCAATCCACTCCAAGCTTCTTGAGGAGTCATATTCTTAACAGAAAATGTGGGACTTCTGTTTAAGATGTGAACTGACCATAGCGCAGCTTCAGGCCAAAAATTCTTGGGAATTCTTCCTTTGACTAGCAGACTTCGAACCATGTTGAGAATGGTGCGATTTTTCCTCTCACTTACACCATTTTGTTGTGGTGTATAGGCAGTAGTCAACTGTCTCTTGATGCCTTTCTCTTTGCAAAATGCCTCAAACTCCTTCGAACAATACTCTCCCCCACGGTCAGTTCTTAGTGTTTTAATCTTCTTTTCTGATTCATTTTCAACTAGAGCTTTGAAGCTTTTGAATGCTTCAAATGCTTCTGATTTTTCCTGCAAGAAATAGATCCAAGTCTTTCTACTAAAATCATCAGTAAAGGAGATGAAATATTTCTTGTTACCATTTGAGATGGGATTTATTGGTCCACATAAATCAGAGTGAACCATCTCCAGGATTGATTGAGCCCTTGCTGCCTTGCCACTAGGAAAAGAGTCTCTTTTGTGCTTCCCAGTGATGCATTCTTCACACACCTTTGATGGAGGAGTTATCTCAGGTAAGCCAGTGACCATCCCTTTCTGGTGAAGTGTTCTCAAGCCATTAAAATTCAAATGGCCATATCTGTAGTGCCATCTCCACGGGTCATCTTCTTTGGCAAACAAACAAGCCTGCACAGTCTTGATTTTCAAAGGAAACAATCTGTTGGAAGACATTTTTACAACAGCAATGGAACCCCTTTTTGGATCGTATACTTCACACTCTCCTTTATAGATAGTAATCCTGTAACCTTTATCTTGTAGTTGACCAGCACTCAGCAAATTAGTCTTCAAATCAGGAATATAAAAAACATTGGAGATAGTTTCAATAAAGTCATTTTTGGTTCTGATTTGAATATCTCCCTTACCCATCACTTTCACTGTTGATTTGTCACCAAAACTTACTACCGTGTAAAAGCTTTCATCCAAATTGATAAAGGAAGACTTACATCCACTCATGTGATTGCTGCAGCCTGTGTCCACATACCATGTCTCCTGATCAGTTTCTGTCAGTGCATGAAAAGCCATCAAAAGTGTCTCTTCCTCTTTCTTTTTCTCCACAAAGTGTGACTTTTCTCCTTTTTCTTTTGGTAACTTCGTATAGCACTCATTCTTGTAGTGCCCAAAATTTCCACATCTATAGCACTCCACTTTTGACTTATCAAAGTGATATGCTCCTTTTTCTTCAGAGTCATCATCTCTTTTGAAACCATGAGATGACTTGCTATCATCTCTATGTCCAGACTGTCCACCACCTCGATGACCACGACCACCTCTTCCTCTACCACGTCCACCTCTTCCATGACCTCTTCCTCCTCTAGAACTTGAGGGCTCAGAAAAAGTGGAAGCTTTTAGAGCTGTTTGTTCTTCACTGGCAGTGGTGCGGTTAAGTCTTTGTTCATGCACTAACAAAGAGCTTTGTAGTTCATCAACTCGTAACTCAGCAACATTCTTTGCCTCCTCAATTGAACAGACAATGTAGTCAAATTTTGGAGTCAATGATCTCATAATCTTCTCCACAACTTTGACTTCTTCCATGGTGCCACCATTGGATCTCATCTTGCTTGCTATTCCCAGGGTTCTAGCAAAGAAATCAGTGATGGACTCTCCTGATTTCATTTGTAGATTTTCAAAATCCCTTGTTAGAGTTTGAAGCACTGCACGCTTCACCCTATCTGACCCTTCATATTTCTTCTTCAAAGAATCCCATATTTGTTTGGAGGTCTCCTTCTCGAGTATAGTCTCCAGGATGGATCGATCAAGTGCCTGAAAAAGGTAATTTTTCACCTTCAAGTCCTTCAGCTTCTGTTCAGCAACCCTCTTTTGTTGTTGTTCAGTCAACACAACTCCCTCTGCTGGGGCGTCAATTCCTGATTCCACAAGATTCCAGTACTCCTTTGACCTGAGAAAATTCTCCATCAGCATGCTCCAATGGTCGTAATGACCATCAAATCGTGGAATCGTTGGTTGAACATAACTCTCAGTGGCTTTGTCAGTTGCCATTGTTTCTTGCTGCTGCAAGACACAATCTTTCACTTTTTTTCAAGTTTGTTCAGACCCAGAAGGGGCTCTGATACCAAATGTTAGAAACTGAAATTAACTTAAACGTAAAGGATGCTTGAACAGAGTATTTCGCAGTGTTGCAGATACTGCAGTTTTCCTCTCTTATATATATGAAAAACAAAGCTTACAAAAAATAACAATCTCCACAATAACCACTAACACAACAACAGCAGATTTTGTGGAGTTCAACTACCTTAAGCAACGGAAGCAAATTTGAACGTGGTAAACACACTAAACCACAACTTCTATATTCTAGGACTCCAGCTTGACTTGGTCTCTTCATGGCCATGTCAGCTTTATTTAATTAAAACTAATTAAACTTAACAACTTTTAACAATTCTATCCTTGTCACAATAATCAAACCAAGCTACACTGCCAGAAGCATAACAGTTACAACAGATTTGACCACCATGGAACTTTTGAATAGAAAACAATTCAGAATCACCTACATATTACATGTCCCAAACATGGGTTATTTTCAGTTAAAACATAACACACAACACAAAACACAGTATTCACACATAATACAAAAACGAAAACACAGTTTTCAATTATTTTCACCCTAAACCCATTATAGAAAAGGCTAAGTTTTTATTAAACAACCCTTTTCACACCCTTCCACCTAACACTTTTGCCTTATTAAAGGCAGACACTTTGACCTTATTAAAGGCAGACATTGCCAGTACATGCTTAGCTTGAAGGACCACCTATATTCGAAATCTGCAAAAGGACCACCTATATTCGACAAAATCTTTCATACTTCTCCCACTATTCTACGCATATTATAAAACACAACATTCAAACCACAATATCCCTATATGACCTCTAACCCATTCACCACAGATATCCCAAATCGCAAAAATTTAAACCAACTTACCGTACGAGGGATGCGGAGCGCCTGGAGCCCTGAAATCTCAACTCATTTATACTCACTTCTTCGAAATCGTAGATCTGAGCTCTGAGCTATGCAGATTTAGGATTTAGATTAAGCTGAGGTTGAGGACGAACGATTTCTTTGGGGCTTTGTCTTCAATCTCCAGCTTTGCAACGTGTGCCCAATTTGGGCGCGATTTTCCCTTTTTTTTTTTTTTTTGAATTGTCGAAACCCAAAACTACCCTTCAACTGGCATGCGCGGAATGGTCAATCAGCTAGTGGGGTGGGTCCCATGGGTGCCACGTCAGCATTTAACGATTGACCGTCTGGTCAACTTAACGGAAGGATGAAATTGGACAAAGTTGAAAACATAAGGGCGTAAATTGATAAAATTGATACCCTGGGGGCCAATTTGAGAATGACCTTAAACCAGCAAGGTGTCTTTTGTCGTTAACCCAAATTTAATAAATGAACTTTAAACTGGACTGGCGGTGCCTGCCCATTGGGCCTAAATTACCTTGTTCCAACAAGGCTCAAATATACCGACTGTGCCATATCTGTAACAACCCAAACCTTAATTAATATTTGAGTAATAATTTAATGGAGGAAAAGACCATAATGCCCTTAGAATATTTTATTAGGTTTTAAGTTGACTTTTTGATCGGGAAAGAATTTGGGAAATCCACTCGTACCGTTGCGTAGAGCGCGACGAAACGAGTCCGTAGACACGTAGTGAACTCGAATCGGACTTGTAACGAGGAAATTACGAGCAAGTTAAGAAAAAGGGCAAAATAATAATTTTGGGAAAAATCAGATTTTTAAATATGATTCTCCCTTTCTCTCTCCTCACTCTCTCTTCTTCCTCGCGCGACACCAAACCCTCTCCCCTGTTTTCTTCTTGCTCCAGCCGATCACCCAGCCACCTCAAGCCACCACCACACCGCACCGGACCGCCCAAGGAAGCACCGCCGCCACCTCCGCAACCCAGCCCCGCCTGCTCCGCCGTCCAGCTGCCATGAATCTGCCGGAAAAACCAGAAAATCGCGTCAGTTTTGGCAGAATTCCGTCGGCTCCGTTCGTCGTCATCCGGCCACCAAATCGGACAAATTAGGTATGGTTTTTCAACAGATTTTCACGATCTAGCTGGTGGATGGGTAGATTTTCAGAGATTTTGAGGTTTGAAGGGTTAATTCTTGATTTGAAATTCTGCCTGTTTGAGAGCTCAATTTCAATCACTTCCGGCCACTTGTTGGCCATAGTCCAAGAACAAAGTGGTTCCAAATATGGTATATTACCTAGGATAGGAGTGTGGGCCGACGTTGTGGAGAAAATCCAGTCACCGGAAATTGTTAAGCACACCCACGCGTTGCCGGTGCATGGGCGGCGCGTGGGCCAGGTAACAGGAGCCACTCTTGGTCCTATAATAATCCTCGTGTCCTCACGAGCGTGTAGGATTTTGCGGATCTCAATTCGGATAATGTTTGAACCCCGAACGGATCTCGCATAGTGTGCGATTTTCGGGTTCAATATGTTCGGACCGTTGGATCATAGCCAAACTGGATTATATTGATCTAGGTATTTTAAGGATCGTGTAGGATTCGACGGATCGTAAATCGGAAAATCGTTTGTCAGTCCGATCGCGCGATCGTGAGCAATCCGACCGTCCGATCTAGACCAAACTGTTAGGACATGTGTCCTAGGCTTGTTGGAACCTCTAGGAATGATCGGATCAGAATTCTGAGGTCGTGGACCCCACGGGGTACCGAGTTGACTTTTTGGGACTTTATCGCTTTTGAGTCCCTAGGTACTTGTAAATCGTGCCCATTGAGAGAAAAGCTAATGTGGGCATAGGAATGACCTTTAAAGTTATGCACGCACTTTTAGGAGCCGGGGGTCAAGGTTTTTAATTTAATATTATATTACTGAGCAGAGTTTTTAATAAAATATTATGATGGTTATACAGGCACCCGGGCACCAGGTGACCTGCAGGAGGGACCTTCAAAGGGTCCAGCTAGCTCAGAGTATTTGTGAGTGGACTTTTTGTTTTCATAAATGAATTTATGCAATTTAATCTCATTATTTGATCTTGAATGAGTTAATTCATTGATAAGAGTTTTAATAGCTTGATTTATCTCTTTTATATGTTTTATTTTTATATTTTATATGCTGCCGAATTGAGAGTGCCTAGAGATTATGGCATACCAGAGTTTTAGATATTTATCAGATAAAAGGGCAGCAGAGTTCAGAGATAAATAAGAATTTATTTTACATCTCGTTAAATTATTTCTGAAACTATATTTTCTTAGAAACCACCATAGGTACCCAAGATTAATTAAGGTTGCCTTCGATAAATATGTTGCCTTCGGTTATAATGGTGTCGACGGACATCCTGTTGCCTTCGGTTTGGTCAGCATGCTTGACATTGCCCCACGAGTTGCGGGGACACCCGAACCGTGAGGTGCGAGATTGCGGATCAAGTTGACCAAGTGTCCCTTGAATCCTGCGAGATTGCGGTTTGGGTTGACCTTGCGTCACCGAGACCTGCGAGAATGTGTCACTCTGGTGGCACGAGAAAGGAATTGACGGATTATAAAGGAATTGACGGATTATAAGGAATTGATGGATTTCTAAATAGGTACACCTAGGTGGTAGATTTAAAGTTGATTTTAATGTTTTCGAAGACTTAATGATTTAATCAAGTTTGTGTTTGACTACATATATATATGAATGCTTTGTTTCCAGTACGAGTATGTATATAAGAAAATGATTTAGTTTTATAACTGATTTTACAGTGGGGTTAGTATGTTCAGATACTATTTTCTAAAGCTTTATTTTTGGTCCACTCACCCTTTTAATGTTTTGCGCCCCTAGGCAGTAAACATGCACAGTGAGCCACCACCGGGCTGAGTCCATCTTCCGCCACATCCCTTGACAACGTAAGGTCTTGTATAATTATTTTATACCTGTATTATAATCTGTGTAGAGCTCTAATATTGCCCTAGAACACTTGTCTAACTGTTAGTATGTAAATTTTTGTATGCTGGCAGTTGGTGTATATTTTTATATGCATGTTTGATAGGTGTAAACTTGGGTTTGGTCTAATTTTAGGGGAGACTATGCTAAATTTTTTGGCAAAAGTCAAACCCCAGTTTTAAGTGAAGCTTGACTAGAAGGGCAATTAGGTCATTTGTGGCCGGCACTTGCCAGGTGTCGGACACGCACAGGGTTCGGCTCAGATTTCAAAGTGGAATTTGGGTCGGGTCCTGTCAATATCGGCTCAATCCGCGTGTCAAGTGATTAGTGTATATTAAGAGGAAATTTTTACATCCTTTTGGGAAAAAAGAAAAATAGAAAAATAGAAAAGGAGTAATGTTTGTATGAGAAACAATCTGGGATCTCCAACAATTAAAGAGTTTTGATATATCCGTTCGGTTTTCACCAACACAAAATTAAGAAAGTAAATTCTGAATCTTAAATTAAATACAGGTTTACAGTATACGGTGGTACCTTCCTTGATGGAGCAGAAATACGGCTGTCATCCACATTAGAGACTGAAAAAGACTTTAGATAATTTTTGAATAATGAGTTACAGCGAAGAAGATAAGAAGATATATATTTGAATAATGAATTACAGCGATAAAAAAGACGTGTTGCTTCTCAGGCTACACATTGGTCCACACGAAGAAGATAGAAACACGTATCGAGAAGAAGCGAGGCACCACGATCTGACAAAGTCGAGGAAGAAGGGCGGTGGTCCAGTGTGACCGACAACTGAAGATTCTGATAGGGAAATCTTGAGTAATTAAAATTTGACATGTTGATAAGCAAAAGTTGATAAATAAAGTTGGTGCCGCCGTACCATGCAATACATTAACATTATTTTAGTCCCAATATAAAATAGTGATCATTCTCGGTTGCAGCGATCAAATTTAGGATAGTCTGTGCCTATCTTATCACTCTCAATCTTCTCACTTGTAGCCATTGAAGTTCCTTTGTTCTTTCTCTTCTTAACTACTCTTTTAGAGAGACCATGGGAAAGTTTACTCATGACTGTGTTGCGTCGTCCGGCATGAAGAAAGGTCCATGGACTCCAGCAGAGGACCAAAAGCTCTTAGCTTTCGTTCAAAAACATGGTCATGGAAATTGGCTTTCCTTGCCTCAGAAAGCTGGTCAATTTCTATAACGAACTCTTCTTTCATAGCTTTCCAATCAATTACAATTTCTCAGCCTGTTTTGGGTAACATATATTTCTTTTTATGGGAGTTTTGGGTAACATATTTGTTAGCTCATATTTGGACACGTCAATAAATGTTAAGACTAGTTTTTTTTTTGAACTTGGTCTGTTTTAAAAATAAATAAATAAATAAAACATATATAATGATAATAGGTCTTCAAAGATGCGGCAAGAGCTGCAGGCTACGATGGAGAAACTACCTACGACCTGATATTAAGAGGGGAAATTTCAGTTTGCAGGAAGACCAAACCATCATTCAACTTCATGCTCTTTTAGGCAACAGGTAAGTACATCACATGCAATATTTTGATTTGTACGCATATATCCATTTTAGATAGTAGTCTCATGTCTCATCCAAGAATTCTGAATTCTCTCATTTTAGATTTACACTTCTATATTTTTATTATAAAAAAACTCACTCTAATTATGATTCCGATATTGTGTTCCATGTATATGAGCTAGGTGGTCGGCTATTGCTGCGCACTTACCAAAGAGAACAGACAATGAGATCAAGAACCACTGGCACTCTCGTCTCAAGAAACGACTGGCCCTGAAAGGCTATGACCCTGTAACCCACAAGCCTAAGACTACCATCTTTGGCTTCGCCAATGGTTCAACTGATGACCCAAAGACCGGCTCAAACCTCAACCACATAGCTCAGTGGGAAAGTGCCAGGCTTCAAGCAGAAGCCAGATTTGTGAGAGATTTAGATTTACACAAACAAGCTTATCATCCTTATAACAATAATGATATTTCTGCTGCCTCATCAATATTATTAGGTCATAATAAGGACTTTGGGCCGACTGATCAATTATTTGGACAAAACGCACCACAATGCCTCGACATATTGAGAGCCTGGGAAAGCATCTTAATGTCAAATGACTCAAAAGCTGCAGGCGGCCAAGATCATGTTAATTCATTTGGTAATCATCTTGCTGGTGATTTCGAGCCTCCAATAATATCTGCAATATCAAGCAATGGATCATCATTGATGGATTGTTTCTTTCATGAACCAGTAGGGCAATGTTTCGATGAAAATTATGGCACTAGTATCACTGAACCATTCGCGGCAGTCCACCACAATATGGGGTTTAAAAATGGGGCATGCTTGGAGGACTTTGGACTTTGGGAAATAATCATGCAAAGGAAAAAAAATTGCCCGATATCGGGAATTAGTATGTAGTACTAGGTATTGTAAATTGGTACTCAATACCGCTATCGGATCTTTGTTGTAGCATGGTAACAAGCAATAAAATTTGATATCTCTCTTATCTTTTTGTGATAGCAGTATATGGTTAAATATATTGACGTGAACCTAACAAATTACTGAGATTTATTTCCTGAGTTCATTAGGTGATTTATTTCATTTTCAGTGTAGTAGACAATTCTTGACCTAGGCTTCTACCAAGCCCTTGATGTCAGGTTGTATTTACTTGTAGTCATTCACTTGGGCACTTCTAAAGTGGTCTGGACTGCTAATAGAGGCTTACTAATTTCAAATTCTGATCAGTTTGCCTCTGACAAAAATGGGAACGCCTACTTGAGAAGCAGTGACGATTTGGTTTGGTCTACAAACACAACAGAAGTAGTTTCAGCCATGCAATTGCAGGATTCAGGAAACTTTGTATTGAATGGAGTTGGAGACAAAGGAAGCATTCTTTGGCAGAGTTTTAGCCATCCTACTGACACTAACCTGTCCAGGAGTTCTCGGAAGGAATGAAGCTCAAAATTTTTCGCAATCACAATAACGTGTCTCATTATCTTGAAATTCAGTCGAGGGAGCTGGTCTTATATGCAGGATATCAAACTCCCCAACTCTATTGGTCCATGGCAGATGACAGCAGGAAAAGCAATAACAATGTCAGTGGCGAGATTCGTTCTTTGTCTCTGGTATCCAATTCATGGAATCAATGGTGCAAATGGATCCTTACAAGCAATGGATCATCATCGATGGATTGTTTCTTTCATGAACCAGTAGGACAATATTTTGATGAAAATTATGGCACTAGTACCACTGAACCAATCGCAGTCAACCAGTTTTATAGCACTACTAATAAAATTGCATCCCTATCGGATCTTTGTTGTAGCTTGGCTTTTGGCTGCCTATTCCACTTTCTCTTGCCAGTGCCTTTACACTTGAGTTCGGTACCAAGCACTCTAATATATTATGAATTGTATGGAGAAAAAAGGGTCAAAGGAGCAGTTGCCCTTTGAAATAACAAGAAAACTTAGAAGAAAAAAAATATTACCTGAAGGCCATTAGGTTTTCTGATGTATTTCTTTATTAGTGATGTGATGTGATGATCTTAATACAGTTAAATATTAACCCAATCTGATTGAGGAGCGAGGCCTTCTAGAAGTATTTGTTTATGCTTGTGGAAATAGTGGTGAATGTAGATCTTAGCATGACAAGGATATTATACATTTTCCGATACAAGCGATATTCTACTTTAATTCAATTTAAACTACGGGAAAAAGCACATCCGCTTTAACCAACTTGACTAAGTCCAAGTCTGTATATTAGACATTTTTAAGAATCAAAGTTTTCTTCAAGAGAGTATGGTCATCAGAAGATATTTCACAAGTGTTTGCTTTCAATACAGGGCAGACTCTTCCTTTAAAAGCGATTGGGACTTGTGATAGGCATTTAATACCTGATACAAGTTTTCCTAGTCTTGGTTTACCTAACCTTTAACTTTTTGGTCTCCAGAGAAAACCTAAAACTTTTCTATTTTTTGCATTAATATGGAACACGTTTCAGAGACATTTAAAAGACAATGAACATGAAACAAAACCAACAAAAACAAAGTTGGTCACATGATGACACGTAACAAAATTTAACGAAAATTTTATCGGACTGTAACAATAGAGATCAAATTAATTTGCAGACCAAAAGATGACCGACTAAAATAAAAGATAATGGTATCCAAACCCGATAAAAACACAAGGACAATTACCCCTCCAATCTCTCTCTCTCTGTCCTCCAAATTTCTAAATTATGGACAGCTGTCGTTGTGCTAACCTTGCTCCGGAGAAGACTTTCCCACCAAAGACTCACGCATTGTGCGGCCAACAGCCCGCTGCTATTGTCAAGCTCTCACGTGTAAGAAGAAGAGAAAAAGACGATAAATGTAGGACCTTTTGTGAAAGAAAAAGAGAGAGAGGTGTTAACAGAGCTTAAGAAAATAGAATAAAGGAGAATTTGATAAAAGATTGTATTGTATTATTATTAGCTTTTTCAGATTATTCATTTCTATACATGGCTCCAGTATATAGGAGAGAGCTTATATCTCTTTCTATGGCCTAGATTATGACACTTGTCAACATCTACACATTAAACCCTTTATACTCTTAACAAGAGGGAGATAACAAGATGAGAGAGGTGACTAAGTGAGGAAGATCATAGGTAATAATAAAATGGTTTAAATAAAAATTAAAACCAGTTATAAAAAACACTCGGCTTCTTTTTTCAAGTTTTTACAAATAAGCCTATTTTAGCATGACATATTATACAAATACCCATATAAAACTTATTTGGAGAGAAAAATTCAAAACTAGCCACTTGTTATTTTCTAATTGGTTCTTAAAAAATTTTAACACACTAAGATCCAATAAATAAAAAAAAGACAAATTGATAGTTCTGGGTTAATCTATCCAAATAGACTTTATAAAAATTTTTGTATAATAAGTCGTGTTAAAATGAGCCTATTTGTGAAATTAATTTTTTTTTATTGTCACTCTTTTAATAAAAGAACAACACTTTCCATTAACAAAATTAAAGAATAAAAGAACAGCACTGAAATTTGACAAGAACACAAAACAAAAAATAAAAATGTTACCCAACCTTTATTAAAAGATGAATGTGTCAAGAAAATTGTCTTTTTATTTATTAATGTGACACACTTAAGATTTTAGGTTTTAAGTATAAGTTAACCCAAAATCTTACACCCTAAATAATGGATTATGTCAATAAATAATGTGACTCGTCGAAAAGTTGTCATTAAACCGAAACTTTAAAAAAAAATTGAGTAGATAGCAACTACTCAATTAACCTCAATAACATTTGAGATGAAAAAAATAATAATAATAAAGAAAATGATGGGAAAGTATACAAAAACCACAGAGACCGTGAGGACACCAATGCAATGACAACTTTTTCCGACAAGTCACAACCATTGCATTAATGTTCACACCTACAATTTTCAAAGACGTTTGAACACCTGCAATTTATACTTTTTACTTTGAAGAACAATGAAAAAGAAAAAAAGCAGAGCATGAGAGTTGTGGACAAATTGTGTACACACAGCAAAAACATAATTATATTACAATCTGCCCTGCCATTTCCTCTCTCTCCTTCACTCACTCTCTTGCAAACCGGTAGAAGCACATAGATTCGATCAATACTCCCTGCAAGAACCCACATCAGCAAATCCATTCGTTTCTGCTACCAAGAAATGGGGTCAGTCATATTCTTTTCTGCTGTGTTTTGCCTGGTTATAGATTTTCACACTGTCAGCAAAGAAAACCCATCAATTATCAACAATGATTCTCTTACTTTTGTAGTTTGTTTTTTGTGAATTTAGTTGCTGTATTTGCTTTTCCTTTACATGCATAAGATATGTTTTGTGGTAGAAAAAATTTCTTCCTTGTTTGCTGCTTCACTCCATCTGACTGAACTTTATAAAATTGAACTACTTTGTGTTCATACCTCTTATAGGTTGAATCATTTTTCAACTTCAGGTTGATCTTTCTTTGCTTTTTTTTTTTGCTTTTTTTTTTGGTGTTAGGTGTATCAGTTCCTTCCCAGCAATTCAATTGTAGCCATAGCCGTTCAGCTAAACACAGAGAAATTTCCAGGGTCTCTGGTTTTTCCTTGTTTTAATATGGTTTTTCACATTAATTGACCCCAAGCCCTGAAATTGTGGTAAAGAATCAATTTTTTTGGGCCCAATTTACGCAAGTCCAGGGAATTGGTGAAGTTAATTATGGCTTTGTTCCAATTGAGAACCTTGTGTTTATGTCTCCTCCTCCTTGTGTTCAAAACCTGCATAGCCGGCCAACAACATAAAGATCGGATTTATCCTGGGTTCCAGGCATCTCAGATGGATTGGAGTGATAATGGGGGGCTGTTCCTGCTATCCAACAACTCGGCTTTCGCCTTAGGATTCTACCAATCCCTTAATGTCAAGTTGTATTTACTTGTAGTCATTCACTTGGGCACTTCTAAAGTGGTCTGGAGTGCTAATAGAGGCTTACTAATTTCAAATTCTGATCAGTTTGTCTTTGACAAAAATGGGAACGCCTACTTGAGAAGCAGTAACGGTTTGGTTTGGTCTACAAACACAACAGGAGAAGTAGTTTCAGCCATGCAATTGCAGGATTCAGGAAACTTGGTATTGCTTGGTGACAAGGGAAGCATTCTTTGGCAGAGTTTTAGCCATCCAACTGACACTCTTCTACCTGGCCAGGAGTTCTCAAAAGGAATGAACCTCAAAAGTTTTCCGAATCGCAATAAAGTGTCTCATTATCTTGAAATTCAGTCAGGGGAGCTGGTCTTATATGCAGGATATCAAACTCCACAACTCTATTGGTCCATGGCAGATGACAGCAGGAAAAGCAATAACAATGTCAGTGGCAAGATTCATTCTTTGTCTCTGGTGTCCAATTCATGGAATTTCTATGGTGCAAATGGATCCTTACTTTGGCAATTTGTCTTCTCTGACAATAAGGATCCAAATGCCTTCTGGGCTGCTGTTTTAGGATCTGATGGTATAATATCGTTCTACAATTTTCAAAAGGGAAAGTCTGTTGCTGCTGAAGCAACTAAGATCCCACGAAGTTCATGCAGCACTCCTGAGCCTTGTGACCCCTACTATGTGTGCTTTTTTGAGAATTGGTGCGAATGCCCTTCACTCCTCACCTCACGCTTTAATTGCAAACCTCAAGCACTCCCAACCTGTAATACCTCCAAAAGTTCAGTGGAGCTCTTATACGTTGGTGAGAAGCTTGATTACTTTGCACTTGGTTTTAGCACACCCTCTCTGAAATCCAATCTGAGTTCCTGCAAAGAAGCTTGCCTTAGTGATTGTTCTTGCCTTGTGCTGTTCTTTGAAAACAGTTCTGGACATTGTTTTCTGTTTGACCGGGTAGGGAGTTTTGAACGCTCCGCTGCAAATTCTACTGGATATATCTCTTTTATGAAGGCCTTGAGGGATGGAGCAAGCCCTGTACAGGAAGGCAAGGGAAATAAAAGCAAGCACATTTTATTACTCATGGTCATTTTGGTTGCCACAATCTTGGTTATTGTTGGTCTAGTTTATGTAGGATTCTGGTACTACCGCAGGATGAGACTATTGGAATATTCCCAAGAAATCTTGGAAGAGGATAGGTTCTTGGACAGTCTTTCTGGAATGCCTATTCGCTTCACTTACGGCGATCTTAGCAGAGCAACTAAAAATTTCTCCAACAAAATTGGCCAAGGAGGGTTTGGTTCAGTCTACCTAGGTGTGCTTCCGGATGGCGTCCAACTGGCTGTGAAAAAATTGGAGGGCATTGGCCAGGGGAAGAAAGAGTTTAGAGCTGAAGTCACTATTATTGGGAAAATTCGTCATGTCCATCTGGTCAAGCTCAGAGGTTTCTGTGCAGAAGGGCCTCACAGACTTCTTGTTTATGAGTACATGGGTAAAGGGTCTTTAGATAAATGGATATTCAAGAACAACA